TGATTTTTGCCACGCTTGAATTACTCCTATAAATTCCTTAGAGTTAGGATCTTTTCTTTATTATTTGAATTAATTGCATGACTTTGTGACTTGTTTGCATTTTTGTGTGCATTTTAGTTGCCATAATTCATAAAAAAGTATAAAAATAGTGCACTTGCATTTATGATCCAATTTTTATATTTTGTATTTACATTACAAAATAAGAGAAAATAACGAAATAGCCGAAAATAACGAAATAGCCCTTTTGCATCATTTTACTTTTATTTTTGATTTTTCCTTAAGTTTTCTTTTTAAATTAGGAATTGGTTAATTTTGGAAATTAATTAGTATAATTTTAGAGTCAATTTAGGTCTTTTATTTTAAACTTTGCATTTGAACAAAAATCTAAAAAAATGAAATGAGAAAAGAAGAGAAAAGTAATGAAATAAAGAAAATTCAAATAAAAAGTTAAAGGTCTTAATACATATCCATGTTTGGGCCAATTCTGATATTAGCCCAAACAAATCCCTCCAAGACCCATCAAACTCGGCCCAAAACCCGCATCAGTCCGGTACCCCCCCCCCCCTTAAAAATAGAACGGCACCGTTTTGCCTCCGTGAAATCTGAGCCGTCGAGGATGCATGATCCAACGGCTCAGAAGGTAGGGTATACTAGGTATTATAGTGTCGGACCATACCCCCTACCCCCCAAGTCGTCTCTTTCACTCCTACCCTCACCAGAGATGCCCCCACCGTCTACCGCCTTGGACCGCCGCCGAAAATCGCCTCACGGCGGCGGCCGGTCACCAAACGACTCCAAAAATACACCATAACACCCCCTCGTCATCCTCAGCACGAATCCGACCTTTGTTTCCCCCAAATCACAGTCAAAGTGTTCGAATAATCCAAACCCTAGGCGCCGTCTCCGCCGCTCACGGCGGCACTAACCCCAAACCTTACCAAAAATACACCCTGAACTCCCCTTGTTCTCCTCTTTCCAAACCCCCAAACCCCGTCTCTCAAATCCTAGTCGAACTTCTCGAATATTAAATCGAAACTCCGGCCAAAACCCTAACTCCTCCAAATGGCCCCAAAATTACACCCCGTACTCTCTTAACCTCCCTTTTTCCGAATCCCTAACTGATTCCTTTCGAATATCGCCGGAATTGCTCGAATTTTAAATCAAAGAAAGCGGCAGAACCCTAAAATTACATAGCTGAGTTTCCTTTGCTTGTTATTAGCCGATTTAGGTTTTGATTTTCATTATTTGCTTATTAATCTGTCTATAATCAGTAATTGAACTTGTTCTTCTCTGTTTTTATTTGTTCATGTTATTTTTTTTTTGAGTTCTAATTCTCTGATAATCGATAATATGAATTTGTTCTTATTTTTGATCCCCTGTTGTTTTTTCTCTTACCTTTTGTTTGCATGATTTAGTTGTACTTCATTATAATTGTAGTTTCAGCTTTCATTTGTTTGTTTTAATTGTTAGTTTAATTGTTAGTTTACTATTTTATTATGTAATTTTAGGATCCATTTTGATTAGAATTAGTTTAGTTTAGAAATTTTCTCCTAGTTTAATCTCAGTTCTTTTTCGAAATTCTGATCAGTTTTGAAAAATAGGGGTTTGGGTTGTTGTTTGAGACCAGTAGGTCGTTTGAATTGGGTCACTTGGCCCAGACCTAGTTGGTTGACCTAGGTAAAATTCAGGGGTATTCAGGGTTAGTTTGGGTATTCCTAAATAAAAAACAATGCTGTAGTTGAAACTAGAACCTCCCAGAATCTTCTAGAGGAGGGTTTTAATTAGAATTTCAGTAGTTTAGTGTTTAGCTTGAGAAACAAGTCAAAACCTTAGGGACTAACTAGCCAAAAATTAAAAATAAAAAAGGGGCTAAGGGTGTAAACTGAAAATCTGAGAGAGCCCTCAATTTCTGCCTATAAAAGGCAGTCTCTACTGCCTTGTTTCACAAGTTTGAACATCTGAAAATTTGAATTTGAAAAATTCAAAAACCAAAAATGAAATCTGAGAGTTAGAAAGTTTTTGGTTAGATCTTAGATATACAGAAAACTTCAAAAAATACTGTTTTCTTCAAAGCTCCTCCTCAAAATAGTTCAAACTCCAGTATTAGCTCAATTTTCAGGCTAAAATAAGATGAAAATGGCATGTGCTTGAGTTGCTGAAATCTTCTGAGTGTTCCTGGGTGCAGTTTCAAGTAGATTTAGGTCTATTCAAGTTTGTTTGTTTGATTGTTGGTGTTGTTCTTCCATAATTCAACTCCGAATTGGTTTTGATATTGTTTCCTGGGCTGCTGAATCTATTTCTGGGCTGTTTGATCATCTGCTTGATACTGCTGCTGATCCTCTTCTTCCTTTCTCTCTCACTGTAATTCCAGGTACTCCTTTGGCCTCAAATGATATATGAAGGTTGAGTCGAATGTGTGATCAAAATTTGGAGAAATGATGAGCTGTTACACATGTCGCCTTTAAATCTCATTCAAATCATATGATTCATGTTAGATTGGCTGTTTTGATCTAATGTATCCTCAAGTACTTGCAAACATGTCTGTTTAATCTAGGCTCCATGAAATGTGAAAGTTATATGGCTTGAACCAATTATTATTTGTAATAATAGGACTGTGAACTCATGAACGCCTGTTTTAATAGTGTTAATTCTAATGTAGTGTAATTTTAGTAGTGTCAGTAGTGTTAATGTGTGCCTGTTAGACATTTGAAAAAGTTTTGTACTGCAGTAATTAATTCCATTGGTTTAGACTTGAGATTAGGGAACTAGAATTTTGAAATCTCTACCTAATAAATCAGGCATCTTCTTTAGTTAAAAAATGTCAATCACTTTAGTTTTATTGTTGAATTTCAGAGATTAGTGTAGTAATTCCTCAGCTTAAACATGATCAGCATACGAACATGAAATTTGAATTAAGATGAGCAGGTGTCTGATATAGACGAGTTTGAATTGTCCATTTGCTTATAAATTGCTAAATTTAATTTCTGATTTGAGTCCAGTATTGTGAGATTCAATTAAAAATCAGTATTTGATTTGGGCTCATATCTTGGGCCAAAGCTTAACAGCTTGATGGAAGAAAATTAGGGCCTCTTTGGGCCTAGACCTAAGAATTACCTTGAGATTTTGTTGTCTCCAGATATACTTGTCTAATTACCTGTTGTGCCTATTGCAAGCCCAGATGCCACCTATACATATGCTGGCCTACCAAATGTTGTATTGGTTGATGTTGTTAGTCCTGGACCGTTTGGGAACCCTAAGGACTGGGCCTAACGTGGCTCAACTACATAACAGCAGGCCCAATTTTCGCGACACCAGGTCCACGTCTGGGCAGTGTTGCATTAAACTTGTATTGGGACAAGTTTGAAGGGCCCCCCCAAAAAAAAAAAGAAAAAAAACAGCTGAAAGCTAAAAATCCATTAAATTACATTAGGAATATGGGGAATTAATTTGCAATATAAATTTAGATTCTTGAGTTAGGTAGCGGGTTAAAATTAAGAGGGTCCACCCTTTTGTTTGAATTCAGACTTGAACTCGAAGCCCGAATTTATAAATGCAAATTAATTAGGCCCTTTTAGAGACAAAAAATAAATAGAAAATCGTAGTTTGCTTTAGTTTGGCCTTTAAACAATAAAATGAGGTGTGCCGCGCCAAATAAAACCCATAAATTGCGGGGCCCTCTTTAAATGTTCCTATTAAAATACTTAGAATTCGGGTGTGCCGTTTAGCGAATTTCACGACCCTCCGCAAAGTTTATCAACACGTTAGTCACTTTAGGCGCGCTTTTAATAATTTTACCTTCCTAAATACGGGTGTGCATTTCATGCAACCCAAATCCAAATCCCAAAACGTTGAATAAGAATGTGTCGAGGATCCGGGTACATTCCATGTGACGTGATCCGAAAACACGCTTTTAAACGACGTTCACTTTCTAAAATTTAACTAAAAGCGGAAAATAATTCTTAAAATTGCCCTATAGGGTAGAACATGTATTAAATCAGATTTTTAGCCAGTTATAATAATTTAAGCGACCGTGCTAGAACCACGGGATCCGGGGGTGCCTAACACCTTCCCTCGGGTCAACAGAATTCCTTATTCAGAATTTCTGGTTCGCAGACTCCAATTGGGAAGTCGAAATTTTCCTCGATTTGGGATTCAAGTTAACACCGGTGACTTGGGACACCAAAAGTCAATTCTATCCCAAGTGGCGACTCTAAGAACAAATAAATAATCCCATTTCGAATAATGTCACTTTAAATGGAAAAACTCCCTTATACATTATCCTTCGGGGTAGGTGTGTAAAAAGGAGGTGTGACAGAATACGCGCCCGGACTATGCACGCAAATCGAGGTGAGGTAAAAGGAGGTTTTTAGGCCTCGGAATGCTGAATTTGTTTCTAAAACAAGTGATGACTTTTTGGATCATCACATTTTTGGAAGTAAAACGCGGTTTAAAAGGGCGTTTTGCATATTTGAATTATTGTTATGTCAGTTAAGCGCATAAGAGTTATTGGTGGGCCCACAAAACATGTAAAGCGCGGTTTATTACTGCGTTTTATATAAAACGCAGTAATGAACCGTGCTTTATATATCCGTCTTATCAGCTTCCAGGTAAAGCGCGGTTCATTAAGGCGTTTTATATAAAACGCAGTAACAAACCGCGCTTTACCTTAACGTCTCAAACGGCCGTTAAGGTAAAACGTGGTTCATAACCGCGTTTTATATATTTTGGTAACTATTTTTTTTCCACCTAAAAATGCATTTTGAGTCCAAAAGAATCACATTTTGGTTCCGGACCGTTGACAACTTTCTACTACAAATTGTAGAAATTGACACTCTAACCAATGACAATAGGAGATTGACGACTCTATATTTGTAGCAAATGACGTAACTACCCCAAAGAAAAATCCAGGAAGTCTATAACGCAGAAGCACGATTCATTTAAAACGATCACCACATACTTCTTTTATATATCCTATACCAAAAGTCTTCTGATTTCGTTAGTATAGCTATAGCAACTTGCTGCAGCCTGCAGCCGTCTTTATATGACACAGCATAGTTTGGCATTTCTTGTAGGGTATATGGCAAGCAGAGCAGGATTTGTTTGACTTTTTTCCCCTTCTTTGTTTGGTTTCCCACTCAGTGTACTGTATTTGGATTGCAGCCTCGATTAATTCCGATTCATGGTGCATAAGGCCTATTAAAGGAAGAAGCCTCCGGACTAGAATTTTATTCATACCCGAGTCCTCTAACCAAGGGTGGAGAAATCTTATTTATCCCACCACAACCTCAATTGTATCATTAGTATTTTTATATCACAAAGGACACAGTTGCAAGACTACCAGTGCCGGCATGATTTAGGTTATAAATTCAGAGATCTTTTAAAAAAAAGTTGATGTCAAAGCCACCCAACCCCATGCGCTGTTAAACTTGTTAAAGATTTTGTGATTTCCCATTGCCATTCTTAATTTCTCGCACTAAACAGAAGGGGCGAGTAAGCCAGTAAATATGCTTTTACTATTTCTGAGAGTAGATGAAATAGATCTAAATTGATCAATATCTAGCATTCTTGTTTTAGCTCAAGAAGGAAAAAGAAAAACCTGGCAGCTATAGCTATGGGCAGAAGTTGCAATCTTCTCTTTGCTCTTCCAGTTTGTATTCTACTTCATCAACATACTTGGCTCGCTACATTTCCCAATATTAACACTGATGAAGCTGCTCTTCTTAGCTTTAAATCTCGCATTTCTTCTGATCCTAACAACATCTTAGCAACTAACTGGTCTTCTTCTATCCCAATTTGCAGCTGGATTGGAATCACTTGCAGCTCTCGCTCCCATAGAGTCACAGCATCCCATTTCTTGGTTCATATTTACCATCCCATTTCTTGGTTCATATTTACCAGGGTGTCTTCTCCGCTTTTTATTTTTTTATAGAATTTTCCTGTCAACTTTGTATTGGGGAAAATAAATATTACACGTGGATTTATATATGTAGCTGGTGTGATAAGACACGTGGATCACTAAGAAAGCGACAACTGGGGAGATGCATTAAAAGAGGCACGAGTCATAATAGGTACGAGTAAATCACCCCCGAGATAAAAGGGGTATGGTCGCTCGAATGTGAATTGCTATGTGAAGAGATACCGGCGTACTGAATCAAGACTGAAAAGGAGGAAGATTCATGGATCGTCAATTAACGCGCATGAATGATCATAGACGTTGCAGAATCTTCCTGAACAGTTACAATTGCCAATTATAACGTCTCATTAATGTCATTAATGTACGTAATGATTTAGTCATAAAAGGGAAGAAATGTTGTACTTATAGATTCCTATATAAGGGAAGGGAATTTCACTTGTAAAGAAACGTTCTGATCACTATTGGAATATATTTATTTACTTTGCTGAAAACCGATCGCTTTACCATTTTTATTGTTCTTATTGCTAAGATATTCATTTTATTTGATTATCAGTAGCCCGAGTACTTCTAAAATAAGCTTTGACCGAAATTCTTGTTTTCTGGTTAAATAAATTGGTTCCGTCACCGGGAATCTGATAATCTTTTACTTTCTATATCAATTCTTCAAAAAAAACAATCATGTCGAACGTCAACGACAACAACCAACAAAATCTACTGCACCAAGAAAATCAGCAACATCAGTTGAATCAACAAGGTGATGGAACTCCAGCCCCCTCACCGCAGAACTCTCCTCGACAATCTCGAGAAGGGACTCCTGACGGATCTGAATCAAATATAAATGAGCAGCATGAGAATGATCAAGCTATTGATGAAGCATTGAAACAATTAAGCGCTCAACAAGTCAGCAATGCTCTTCAGGCCTTTGTTAGCAGGTTGCCGAATATACCACCAACACCACCTACAAACAACAACGGAACCGTAGAAAATCCTAGCTCGGGACTCGTTAACCCAGGCAGCGGAGAAACTCCCAGCGAATCTCGAGATGGAGGGTCAGGTAACCCAGTTAATTCTGATTTACAAAGTTTAGTACTAACTTTGCAGAAACAACTCAAGGAGCAGAGCGATCACATAGAGCAAATACCTGGTATACCGCCAGTAATCAGGGGAATAGATATGGAGAAATACTCTCAACAACCTTAGAAACCAAGTGCAGCTCCTTTGCCGATTCCAAAAAAATTCAAGATGCCCGATATTCCAAAGTACGATGGAACAACTGATCCACGGGACCATGTAATTGCATTTACAACTGGCGTAAAGGGAAATGACTTGACCAAGCAAGAAATTGAATCTGTATTGGTCAAAAAATTCGGAGAAACACTCACAAAGGGGGCACTAACATGGTATTCTCTTTTACCTGAAAATTCTATTGACTATTTTGCTGAGCTTGCAGATTCATTTATAAAAGCGCACTCGGGAGCTCAAAAAGTCGAAAACAGAATGGAGGACATCTTCAAAATAAAACAAGGAGATATGTAGCTACTCAGGGAATTCGTAGACAGATTCTAGCGAAAAAGGATGATGTTACCTCGTGTACCCGATAACTGGGCGGCTATGGCTTTTGCCAGTAACCTGAATGAAAAAAGCTGAGGCCGCGAGGAGAGTCAAAGAAAGCTCATGAGAATTTCCTGCGACTACTTGGAATGATGTTTACAATAGATACAACACAAAGCTACAGATAGAAGAAGATACTATTACTCACTCTCATAAAGATGAAAGAGTAACCTCAAGACTGGCGGAAACAGAAAAAAGGTCCGGTAAAAATAGGTACGAACCTTATATGGGACCAGCAGGAAGGGATTCACGTTCAAAACAGGAAAATCCAAGGCATAACCCTAGATCAAGGGACAAAGAATCAGGGTCGTCGTCAAGGTACGGAAAGGATCGAAACACATGAGACACCCGGGATGACGACAGAGGTTCGAAAGCAAAAATTGGTAGTTATAGTTTTAATGTTAGCACATCTGAATTGGTGGCTATTTTAAGAAGCATGAGAGATAAAGTACGATGGCCAAAAGAAATGAGATCGAACCCAAACAAGAGAAATCCCGATTTTTTGTGCGAGTTTCACAACGATCACGGCCACAAAACGGCAGATTGCAGATTGCTACAAGGTGAAGTAGAGCATTTATTAAAACAAGGTTACTTAACTGAATTATTTAGTGAAAAGGGAAAGCAAGCATATATGAAGAATAGGCAAGAACAGCCGAAACCTCCATCATCAAAAAGAATAGTTAATGTCATAAGTGGAGGGGAGGAGATCAATAGCGTAACATATACGATAGCAAAGAAGGTGTCAAAAATCATGGTCACTCACGGGAAGCGAGTTCGTCAAGTTTTGGAAGAAGATAGTATAACATTTGATGATGCTGATGCAGATGGCGTGTTGATCCCACACAACGATGCACAAGTAATATCTTTACTTGTGCATGATACTAATGTAAAACGAGTTTTGATTCCAGGTAGTTCCGTAAATATCATTCTGTTGAGAGTGATAAACGAGATACAAGCCACTGATAAATTGGTACCTAAAGCTCGGACTTTGTCTGGTTTTGACAAATCGAGCGTTGTGACAAAAGGGGAGATAATACTAACCACATTCGCAGAAGGAGTAGTCAAAGATACCAAGTTTCAAGTAGTAGAAATGGATATGGCATACAATATGATTCTCGGCAGACCATGAATTCACGAAATGGATGTTGTTCCATCTACCCTACATCAAGTAATCAAGTTTCCTTCACAATGGGGAATACGACAGATCCGTGGTGATCAACAGGCTTCTCGAAGCATTAATTCAGTGGTAGACTCAAGTGCTAAAAGCGACGAAAAATAGCAATTATAAAATTCAGTTGAGGATTTAGCAACACAAACCTCAACTGGAGACGAACAGACAGATGTGGACTCAAGACCCGATACTATTCAAGAACTAGAAGAAAATAAAAACATCAAAACAACAATCGAGGAACTAGAAGCTATAGTACTGTTTATACATTGGCCGGACAGAAAAGTATACATTGGAGCCAACCTCAGCCCAGAAATGAAAAGTAAGTTAATTGAATTTTTAAAAGCTAACGCAGATTGCTTTGCTTGGTTGTATTCAGATATGACAGGTATACCTCCGGAGGTAATGACCCATAAGCTGAATGAAGATCCAACATATCCACCTGTCAAACAAAAGAAAAGAAAGCAGGGATCCTTCAAAAAAATCAGGTGATTCAGGATGAAGTGCAAAAGCTCTTAAAAATCGGATCTATCCGCAAGGTAAAGTATCCTGATTGGCTAGCTAATACTGTAGTAGTGCCCAAAAAGAATGGTAAGTGGCGAGTTTGTGTGGACTATACCGATTTAAATAAAGCTCGCCCTAAAGATTCTTTTTCATTACCACACATAGATCAACTAATTGACGTTACTGCAGGACATGAGCTATTAAGTTTTTTAGATGCCTATTCAGGATATAACCAGATAAAGATGGATCCTTTGGATGAGGAAAAAACTTCTTTTATTACAGACAAGGGGACTTACTGTTATAAAGTTATGCCATTTGGTCTAAAGAATACTGGAGCTACGTATCAGAGGCTAGTGACCAAGATGTTTCAAGAACGTTTGGGAAAAACCATGGAGGTTTATATAGATGATATGCCAGTCAAATCACAACAAGCAGGGGATCATATTCAACACCTGTCAGATACATTTCAGATTCTCCACAAATTCAACATGAAGTTAAATCCCGAGAAATGTGCATTTGGCATGTCGTCAGGTAAGTTCTTGGGATTCCTTGTTTCTAACCGTGGCATTGAGGTAAATCCTGTGAAGATTAAGGCTATTGAAGAAATACCAGATATACTTACGAGCAAAAAAGAAGTGCAGAGATTGACATGTAAAATAGCAGCGTTGGGTAGATTTATTTCCAAGTCATCGAAAAAATGCTTTAAGTTCTTTTCAGCCTTGAAAAAGCAAAGTCAATTTGAATGGTCTGAAGAATGTCAACAAGCACTCAAAAATCTAAAAGCATACTTGTCAAACCCACCATTGCTGGCCAAACCAAAGGATGGGGAAAAACTACTCATCTACCTCGTTGTTTCAGAAGTAGCAGTAAGTCCTGTATTAGTTCAAGAGGACCAAGGTAAACAATCTCCAATTTACTATGTTAGCAAGTCTTTATTGGATGCTGAAACTCGATATCCTCATTTAGAAAAACTTGCACTAGCATTAATCATGGCATCTAGAAAATTAAAGCCTTATTTTCAATGTCATCATATCTCTGTAGTAACTGCCTACCCCTTACGTAATATATTGCATAAACAAGAGTTATCAATGAGGTTAGCCAAATGGGCTATAGAACTGAGTGAATATGACATCACATATCAACCTAGAACTGCAATAAAGTCACAGGTTTTAGCAGATTTTGTGGCAGATTTTAGCCTAGGGATAGTAGCAGAAGCACAAAAAAGAACTGCAGGTATTTAATGGGTCTAATCCAGGTACTTGGACCCTATTTATCGATGGCTCTTCAAATGTAAAAGGAGCAGGTTTGGGCATTGTCCTGATCCCACCCACGGGAGAGACTATACGACAAGTCATAAAATGCCATCCTATTACTAATAATGAAGCGGAATATGAAGCTGTGATTGTAGGTCTAGAATTTGCACGAGAGCTCAGAATAGAGCAGGTTATAATCAAATGCGACTCGCAACTTGTAGTTAACCAAATATAGGGGACTTACGTAGCTAGAGAAGTAAGGATGCATCAATATCTGGAAAAGGCACGGGACTTGATTAAACAATTCCAAACTTGGAAAATTATGCAGATACCAAGAAAAGAAAATGCCGAGGCAGACGCCTTAGCTAATCTTGCATCCGCTGCAGAAGTAACAAATGAAAAGAATGCTTCTGTGATACATTTGTTTCATTCAGTACTCGACCAAGATAAAAACGAGGTAAATTTCAATAATTTAACTTGGGATTGGAGAAACGAGATTGTCAATTTTTTGCAGTACGGAACATTACCTGAAGACAAGAAAAAGGCTCGGGAACTTCGTCGAAAGGCTGCTCGTTATTGTTTAGATCGGGGAAATCTATATCAGAAAATATTCGGTGGCGCTCTGGCAAGGTGTCTCGGACCTTCTCAAACAGAATATGTGATGAGGGAAATACACGAGGGACACGCCGGAGGAAGATCTTTGGTAAAAACTTTAATTAGAACAGGGTGTTACTGGCCAAAAATGGAAGAAGAAGCAGAGAATTTCGTGGCTAAATGTGACAAATGCCAAAGGTATGGTAACAATATGCATCGACCAGCAGAATTATTACATCCGGTTGTTGCACCATGGCCTTTTATGAAGTGGGGGATGGATATTGTGGGTCCACTACCACAAGCCAAAGGCAAGGTAC